GGTATATGACACAGTGGATGTTAAAACAAGTGCCAGAGAGTATAAAATAGTTCATAGCTTTTTCCTGGCAGATTTCAGACATTTCTAGGGTAAAATTTATGTCTCCCACTGCTTTCTTTTGCTTAGAGATGTGTTATCAGTCTAGTGTTAGAGCCATAGTAGTTGACTTGTCATGAGTTTTGATGAACTAGAACAGAAGAGAGCATTTCTGCTCTTTGCTCTTTGATACACTTTTTTCTTCCTACTCTTCTCTCTCCAGAATGGTCCTAGTGCCAGGTCGTGCCATAAAATGTGCATTGACATCCAGCGGAGGCAAATCTACACGTTGGGCCGCTACTTGGATTCCTCTGTGAGGAACAGCAAATCTCTGAAAAGTGACTTCTACCGTTACGACATTGACACCAATACCTGGATGTTACTGAGTGAAGACACTGCTGCTGATGGTGGACCAAAGCTGGTGTTTGATCATCAGGTTGGATGCACTTCATGAGAGTAGAAGTAGCTAGTGCTGAGTACTCTTTGCTCTTAGAGGTCTACTTTAGATGCTTATATGGTGTCAACTAACTGATGATGCTATTGGTAGGTAATAAAGATAATTATTTCAGGAAGTGTAAGGTTATTTTTACTTTTTTATTGTTTGGTATAGGATGAAATATTAAGCCATTAATCTTAATATTTACATAATTGTTAATCTATTTAAAACTTTAGTATAGAGAGTGGATGAAGCAAGGAAAAACAAATTTAGAGGTTTATAAATTTATATTAACTATAACAATTACAACTTACCCTGTTAATATTTTTTATTCTGTTTTCCTGGAAGGAATTTAAAATCATTTGCTAATGAGTTTAAAAACTAGAGCTTTCCTTCCAGTTAGACTAAAATATGCTTTCTTTTGTTTGTAATCAGAAACTTGTTACAAAGCTATGTAGAAATTTGGCACATTCTAGATTAAGTTTAAACTCAGCGTGTGATGGTGTTATGGACAAAACAGTTGTAAACAGTGAGTGGTGTGGAAGCTGTACCTCTCTGCATTATCCCTAGCATAGTCAAAGACAACGGTAACTGCTTTGAATTGTTCCAATAGGCGGTTTTACTTAGTTAACCTGTTCGCACAGCTTTCAGAGTGTAGGAGAGAGGACCTGTTTTACTGTATCAGCCAGCATTGGCTGCTGCTGGGGAAATGGGAGGTAGTGATAGAGTTGTGCTACTCCAGCTTTGGCCTTAGGTCTTACATAGCAGCTGAATCCCAGGCCTTTATTCATTGTTTTTTTTTATATATTGTTTTGCTTTGCTTTGAAATTATCCTAGTTTCATGTTTTTGTTAATGCGTGACTGGTGTCGAAGAATGGTGAAGAGGAACTACGTCCATCAAGTACTGTAGGTGAAAAATACAAATGTTAAGGTCCTCTGGTTAAGGTCGGAACTTACATCGGCTCTGTAAGGCTGAGTTTCCACAGCCATGCTCCTTCCTGGTATCCTCAGTGTTGTTCTTCTGGCAAAAAGAATTCCAAGAAGTTAGGCTGAATCTGGCTACGAATGTAACGTCAGCGGGTCATATTGTTAGGGAACAATTTATCCTTTTGATCAAAAATTCTTAATATTTTACCAAAAAGTACTGAATTTTACAAAAATTACTTGTATTGGTTGAAAGTAGGATAGCTGGAGGATAGTCTGGCTGTGGCACACAGTTGTGTATGCTATTCGTTTGTCTTGACTAATAAAACAGGACACTCCTTGGAAGTTGGCTACTATTAAATAAATAATTCTAAGTTTTCAACTGATCCCATCCTATGAAAGAACCGTGGAGGGGAGGAAACCAGAATTTGGTCCTGATTCAGCTAAGCAGTCATGCTCTGTGCTGCTGAGTGCGCAGCGCCTGTCTAAGCCTCCAGTGCACATTTAATGTCGTGCAAATAAAGCTGTAAGTTAGAACTTACTAACTTGTGTTCATGACACTCCAAACAGTATTTGTAGTGCCAGGATGTTTTAGGGTTTAATACTTTATGTTCAAAATTTAGAAGAACATGGGGAAGATAAAGACACATTTAAAAATTATTTTTCCATTTTGAATTTTCACATTTAAAAAATTGAAATTCAGAGTCTTGTATTTCTGGTGAGCATATGGCAGCTTAGCTCGGCTTAGCTATCAAACTTTACTTGTTGTTGCTTTGCCTAGTTTTCAATAACAGCAAGAATTCCAACAGAAAGGATTTTAAAAACAGTATGTAAATCATATATACAGAAAAACTAGGAGCCAGAGAAAGCTCACAATTGCTTGTAAGTTTAATCACAAACAACAGAAAAACCTGGTCCGTGTACTGAAGTCCACACATTGCAATGAAGAGAGCGTGAGATGCAGGGAGCCCTGCAGTGTACAGCAGACTCCTGAGTGTCCAGAGCGGAGCAGCAGCAGGGCGAAGCAGGGCATTAACCTGTAGCAGGGTCGGAAAGCCCAGCCTGTTTAAGAAAGCAGTGTGTTCAAAAAGGAAACACTTGGGCAGCTGGACACACTGGCTTCTTTTGCAGTAGCCAGTGAGCTAGGGAAGTTCAAATCTTAAGGACCAGTCAGTGAGATGGCTTATTGGGTAAAGGTGCTTGTTTCCAAGTTATTCTCTGACATCCAAATGCACACTGGCACATGCATGCCCACACACAGGCATAGAAGCATGTACATACAGAGTCAAAATAGACAACCGTCATTTTAAAAAGACACCTTGAGATAGACCATCTCTAAACCAGATGAGACCTCAGAATTAGACAAGACGTAGCTTCACAGAAACACACCTCTGTTCAGTAGCACCAGGGTCCTTAAACACTACTGTCCCTCTTCATAGGAACTCTCTGAAAGCTGTTGGGTCCAAGGAAGACCAACTCACTTAAATGTGAAAAACTATAAACAATAACAAGCACCAGATCTTTAGAGAAATACTTAAAAGAAAAAATAGAGGGAAAAAATACTTTTCTTCATACAAAAGTAGGTAAGAATTATATTTCAGCATTCTAACAGTTTAACAACATAATGAAGCTTGAAACTGAAGATAACTACAAAGGATAAATTGAAAAATGCCAATGTGAGCACCAAATGGTAAGAGCAGCTGAGAGGAACTGCATACAGGGAAGAAATGAGGGCCAATGAAACGGCCCAGTGAGTAAAAGGGCTTGTGGCTCAAGCTTGTCAGTCCCTGGACCCTCGTAAAGGTGAATGAGAGAACCCACTCTACAGAGTTCTCCTCCTCACAGTGTAAACATAATCATAAAAACCAAAGAAGAACATGCTATCATGTTCAGAAATGGAGACTAATCTGTAAGCATAAAGAATAGGGATCATGTAAGTATAAAACAAAACAGAAATATTTGTCAGAGAATTACAGAGAAGACAGGCAAATGAGAGCCAGCCAGCTGCCTCAAAGGCATATTAGTAACCCTAAATTTAAAGCACACTATTTTTAGTTACTAGACAGAATTATGAAGCCACTTAGAACTAAAATGAGACTGGTTGTATATCCACTTTCAGTGTTGTTTTCTAGCTTTCTATAGCTGTGATGAAATATCTGAGGCGTTTAACTTATAAAGAGAAAAAGATTGTTTTGGCTCCTGGTTGTGGAGGTTCCAGTCTAAGATCAAATGGCATCATTGCTTTGGGATTTTGGTAAGGGCATGCATTATGACAGAATCATGTGGTAGAGCCAGACTACCTACATGAACAGGGCCACAGAAGAGAAAGGGCAAGCTGGAGTCTCAGTCTTCTTTGCATTCACAATCTTAATGATCTAATGACCTTCCAAAGGCCACTCCTCTGGAAGTCCATAGCATCTGTCAATATTAGTGCCACCATGGTGCCAAACTATTAACATGTTGACCTTTGGGAGACACTACCCCTATTTAGACTGTAGCAAATGCCAAGAGACAAAGGAACAGTATCTAAAGGTATTCAGGAAAAGATAGTGTGGACCAAGTGTTAAAGAGCTGACCAAATTGCCCTTTAGATATAAACACTTTAAGAAATTACTAGAGGGCTGGAGCAATGGCTCAGAGGTTAAGAGCATTGGCTACTCTTCCAGAGGTCCTGAGTTCAGTTCCCAGCACCCACCTGGTAGCTCACAACTGCCTATAATGAGATCTGGTGCCCTCTTCTGCTGTGCAGGCATACATGGAGGCGGAACATTATGTAATAAATAAATAAATAAATAAATAAATAAATAAATAAATAAATAAATAAATAAATAAATAAATAAATCTTTGAGTGAGTGAATAAATGAATGAATGAATAGATAGATAGATAGATAGATAGATAGATAGATAGATAGATAGATAGATAGATAGATAGATAGATAGCTCGCTCGCTCGAGCCAGGTGGTGATAGCACATCCACTCAGGTGGATCTCTGAGTTTGAGGCCAGGCTGTCTACAGAGCAAGTTCCAGGACAGCCAGGGCAACACAGAGAAACCCTATCTTGAAAACTAACCCCCCCCCCTCAAAAGAAATTACTAGAAACGGAATGTGAGTTAGCTGGGAAGTAATAGGAAAGAATCTTGTTGAAGAATGGAAGGGCATGGTGTCCCACACCTTTAATCCCAGCTTTGGGGAGGCAGAGACAGGTGTATCTCTGTGAGTTTGAAGCCAACCTGGTCTACAAATCAAGTTCCAGGACAGCCAGGGCTATGAAGAGAAACCTTGTCTCAAACAAAACAAAACAAAATAAAAAATTGAAGATCTTGGTGTCTTGGCCTCCTTTCCTGGACCAAATCATTGGCAGGACAACCAGATCCTTTCACTGACCTCCTTCCCACCGTCTGCAGGGAGGAAGGAGAGCACATTAGAAATGGTGCTGAACAGCAGCAGCAGGTGGTGGGAGCTTTCCTGAAGGTGGATCACCTCCCGCCAGAAGAAGTCACTGTTCAGCTTCATACTGCAAAAGGCTGAGATGTAACAAGTCCAGAAGTCTTTATGCCCTGAGCACATATTAAGTTATGGGTTAGGGACTAAATAGCAGGGGATCCTCTAGTCTGATGAAGTATCTTTAGGTGTGATAATTTATAAAAATTAGAAAATGGGTTAAAGGTAGACAAAGAAAATTGGGCTGTCTACTGCTTATTATGTTTTAGAAATGCTGTAACCTGACAGAGTAGAAAAAGAGTTTTCCATTAAATCCGGGTAGGATTTTTTCTTTGTTTGTTTTTCTATAGGTTGTTATTGTTTTGAGACAGGTTCTCATTTTGTAGACCTAGATGTCCTGAAACTCACTATGTAGACCAGGCTAGCCTCAGACTCACAGAAATTTGCCTCTGCCTCCTGAGTGCTGAGATTAAAGGCGTGTGCCACCACACCCACTGGTCTTGCAAAATTTTGATTTACAAATTTTTGTGAAAATACCACAATTTATCGTAAGTTTGTATAACCGTTTTTTTTCAAGAGATTAAAAGCTATAAAACAGGACCTGGAGCTGGCTGGGCAGTAAAGAGCATGTGCTTCTCTTGCAGAGAACCCAAGTTCAGTTCCCAGCCTCCATGTCCAGTGTCCAACAACTACCTGTAACACCAGCTCCAGGAGATCTGACACCTTCTTTTGAGATGCAGGGGCACCTTGCATACATATGCACATGTCCATGCATGGACATGGGCACACACATACATGATTTAAGATAAAATAAATGCTACAAGTATAGAATAAAAAAATTAAATAAAAATGAAGAACAAACCTTAGACTGGGTAAAGAGCGTTAAGACTCCTAGAATGATTAAAATTTGTTGATAATTGACCCTCATTAAAAAAGAAATAAATAGGCCAGGCAGAGGTGGTGCATGCCTTTAATCCTAGCACTTGGGAAGCAGAGGCGGGGGATCTCTGTGAGTTCGAGGCCAGCCTGGTCTACAAAGTGAGTTCTAGGACAGCCAGGATTGTTACTCAGAGAAACCCTGTCTTAAACAAACAAACAAAAAAAACCACTATGTATCTTAGTTCAGGAGTATGTAGTATATAAATAAAGTTATTCCTGTTTCATGTCCTGTATGCTGGAAGAATCTCCATGCTGATACTGTACTCCTCCTGTTTTTTATGAATTAGCAAAGTAAAGATGTGTATATGTAGCCCTGATGACAGTTAAGAAGACCACACCAAAAACTCCTGAAAGGAAAGAGCAATGCCAGGACTATGCCAAGAGACCCAGTCTCAAAACAAACTAACTCACTCTCTCTCTTTCCCCCTCTCTCCCCCTCTTTCCCCTCTCTCCCCCTCTCTCCCCCTCCCCCCTCTCCCTTTCTCTCTACTAGAATCCTTCCTTTTTGCAGTGCTTTATTTTTTCAATTGGTCTTTAAAATTACTAAAATATCTTTATGTGGTAAATTTAAAAGTAATTATATGAGGGAAGCAGTTTGGGAGAAGAGACTCAAACTTGGAACAACTAGTCCAGTGCTTCACTGAAAGCAGAGCTGTTTGTACATGATACATTCTTCAATCGCAGACGCCTCTTGGCTTTGAGAGCTGAGCTCCAACTTGACTTGGAGATAGAATTTGAGTGTTATTATCTTGTGACAGCCTTTTCCTCATATGTTATTTTATGGAGGGCTTTATTTTTATTTTAAGGAGTGTAAAAATCAAGGTTGACTTGAATTGCATAGGTTAATTCAATGAAAATTAAATTTATAATGTAAAAAGAGACACAGTTATTCATACTATGGTATGGAAGTCTGTCTGGAGACATGTTTGCAAATGCCTTTTGGGTTTTGTTTTGTTTTGTTTTGTTTTGTTTTGAGACAGGCTTTCTCTGTGTAGCCATGGATATCCTGGAACTCACTCTGGAGACGAGGCTGGCCTCGGACTCTGAGATCCACCTGCCTCTGCCTCCCGAGTGCTGGGCTTAAAGGTGTATGGCATCACTGCCTGGCTTGTTGCATTATTTTACAATATAATTTGGCGAGTTTTGTGAAATAAATGTAGAGTTTCATTTAGCTGAATCACTCTAGTTTGCGGGTTGGGTATCTTCTCTCTTATTAAACAAGTAACAAGTAAGATACTTCCCTCTAAGGAGGATGGAGGGGAGCATATGATCACAATTCATCCATAGAGTTATATGATCAGTATGCACTGTTAGTAAAACCAGTATGTCATGATTTGTTGTTGGCTCTGATAAAAATCATGTAGCATAACATCAAGAAAACAAAGTTCCTTAGCTCAGTATACTCATTTTAATTGGGATGAATGGAAATTGAAAAAGTATTTAGAAACCTCTCCTGAATTTCTGAACAGTATTACAGTATGTGTGTACAATAATTAAGATATGTATTTAGCATCATTAAGAGCAAAATTCGGGGTTTCTTTGAGAATGTGAAACTGTACTTACTGATTTCATTTTGGCACATATGACAGGAACAAACTAAAACTGTTGCCTTGTTCTCATAGATGTGTATGGACTCAGAAAAACACATGATCTACACCTTTGGTGGTAGAATTTTGACATGTAATGGCAGCGTAGATGACAGCAGAGCCAGTGAGCCACAGTTCAGTGGCTTGTTTGCCTTCAACTGCCAATGTCAGACCTGGAAACTTCTTCGAGAGGACTCCTGTAATGCTGGCCCCGAGGACATCCAGTCTCGAATTGGACACTGCATGCTGTTCCACTCAGTAAGAATATTCTGTGGATTGTGTTATGTTGTCATGTGTATCTTTATAGGAAAGAATCAGTAAGAAAGCAAACTTTTCGCTAAAAATAAATGATTAATACAGCAGTGACAGAGAAAATAGAACTTTAGCAGTGAGCTGTGATGTAGTCATTTTCATCAACTTAGAAACTCCTGAGTATTACCTGAAGATAAAGGTAGGTGCTTTTATGACCGACTTGACTGCTTCCATAGCTGTCATATAGTTAGCTCTCTTTTTAGGACTTAACCATGTGCAGACTTTTCTTAGCAATTAGATGGATAACTTTGAATTATTTTCCCTCTTGCTACTCTCAATTAATTACAGATTGATTTTAATAGAATAAGAGTCTACTGACAAAACAACCAAAAGACTTGACCTTAACTTTTTGAAGTAGGCAGTCCTTCTTTTGTGAACAAAGTATTAGAATGTATTCTGTTTAACATGCATGTTTTTAAAATATTCTTTATATAAAGTACAAAGAAGGAGATAGTAGTGAATTTCTGTGTACATATCTGTCAGTTTGACCAGTAAACAATCTATGTTTTTAATATAGCTCTCTTACTTTAATTATATTCCCTGTCATTTTTAGAGCTTATTACATTTTATTATATTGGGAATATTTGCAGAAGGACTCCAGCTAGGATGTCTGTATTTAGCAGACCCTTCATATCTGTGGGCTATGTATCTGCAGATTCAAACAACCATGGATTGAAAATTTTTTAAATTTTCTGTCTCCACTAAATTATGTACAAACTTAAAAAACCCTTTATTAAACAACTGCTGTCATGTCCTACAGTTTATACTAGGTATTAAAAGTAATGTAGAGATGATTTAAAGTACATAAGAGGATATGTATATGTTATGTGCAAATCCTAAGGGACTTTTCGGTCACCCAATTTGTGTATCAGGATGAGGACCTATACTGATACTTTTACTATAGTGTACAGTGATAGACACAAACTTTTAAAATGGTGTTACCATTATCATACCCATCACAATCAAGCAACTTATTAATATTATATAATGTCTGGTCTATATTATGTTGTTCTGATAGCCTAAATGATACCTTTCAGAACTGGTTTGTTCAGCTCGGGATCCCAGATACTCCTGTGTACAGCAGTACATCCTCTTTTCTCCACACACATTCTGCTCCCTCTGCTTTTTTAAAAATCAGAATTATTTGTAATCTACAATGTTTCCCCTTCTCATTTGACTGATTGGATCTTCATTGCATTATTTAATGTGTTTCTCTGTCATATTTTCTATTATCCAGTCATTTTTATCTGGGGGCTTGATTTACTGTCACTGTCCTTTCAAGGGGAAGCCAGGAGGTAACATACCAGCGCTTCACCAGTACTCTGATCATAGGATATCAAGAGGCACTTAATATTATCATGTTTTACATACATATTAGTGAATTTAGGAATTATTAGTTTGATCAATCAATTATGAAATTTCCTATAACCTTTACCTATTGATATTCAGTGGGTATTCATTGTCTAGATTTCATTAGAGATCACAAAATGGTGATTTTTCTCATGTTGTTTCTTCTGTATTTATTAACTATAATTCTATTTTTCTTTTTTTAAAAAAGAACAATAAAACATCATCTTTATGTCATGAATTATATGATTACTCTAAAATGAAACCATATGGTTCTTGGGCCAGGCCTAATCATGCACACCTGTGATCCTAGCACCTTGAAAACTAAGGCAGGCAGACCATGAGTTTGAGATCAACCTGGGCTATGCACAGCAAGTTCAAGGCCAGCCTGGAACACATAGAAACAGCCTATCTTAAAAACTAAGTGAATCATTGGGTGTGCCTTTAATTACATGCCTTTAATATGAACAGAGGCAGTGGGAATCTCTGTGAGTTCAAGGCCACCCTGGCCTGCATAGTGAATTCCTGCCAGAGCTATGAAGGAAGACTATGTCTCAAATAAATAAAGCTAAATGAATGAATGGATGTCTGATTCTTTTGTTGATTTGCATGTTAATGAAATCAGTTTCCAAAGCCAACCAGTGAGGTAGTTAAAAACATTGTAATTATGAGCTCATGAATTTTTTTTATATACATGGGACTTTAAGTTCATTGCTGTCATTTTTCTCAGTTGGTATTTTTTTATTGTTGTTTTTTGTTCGGTTTTTAATCTGTCTTTGGCCAGTAGGAGCCTCCTTTTTACCCATATGCACACATTTCCTTTTTGGTAAAACAAAGGGCAAATCGTGAGTTCTCACTGATAAATCCAATTCAAATTATTTTCTTTTACTTAGTGACTTTGGTTTTTGTACTTGTATATTTTTTAAAGTTAAAAATCTCATTTCATTTGTATTACATTACTTGTTTCATCTGTGAGAATTTTCCACTTGTCAAAGCTAACAACAAAACACTAGTGTTTCCAAAATTAAAATTGCTTTCTGGTGAATTTTTAATTTAGGACTTAGGTCTAAGTCCTAAATGTATTATAAAAATGTATTATAAAGATTATATTATAAAAAAAACTGAATTAAAAATCAGTATAATACTTCTGAGTGTGGTTAGAATTCTGTATATACATAAAGTCATAGCTTTATGTACAGATAGAGTTTTTCATCTTTGTTTCTGTTTTTTTAATATTCTAATAAAAACACTTTTATGGTTATAAAATAAAACTAAGGCAAGGTACCTTTAGATAGCTCTGGTTTTTATTTCAGGCATAAGAAGGAGTTAATTTCTTCCTCATGGGTGGCTGTCCTGTATTATGTTTGACTTATCCAGACACATTCTTGTTTGCTCACTCAGGCTCACTTTTGCTCTCTCATAGTCACACCAAAGGCCTTTATGTGGCCTCCTCAGTAGGCAGCGTTCAGTGTTTCAGCAGTTCCTGTTGGTGGTGAGGAGACAGCTGCCTCTCCTCCTCAGTCGAGCAAAGGAATGTTGTGTGGGATCTCAGGAAACTACTGTTACAGAGATGTCAAGTTTGAAGGGTCATTCTGCATTCTTCATTGGAAATGACAACTCCCTTCCATTTCTCCCTTTTTTAGAAAAATCGTTGCTTATATGTATTTGGTGGCCAGCGATCTAAGACATATTTGAATGATTTCTTTAGTTATGATGTGGACTCTGATCATGTAGACATAATTTCAGATGGCACCAAGAAAGACTCTGGAATGGGTAAGAATATTTCTCATGCTGTAACTACTTTTTATAGAAAACTAATACCCATTTTCTTCTCTTTCTAACCATCCTTCATACTTTCTCTACTTAATTGAAATAATTCTGAATAAGAAGAATAAAACTCTCCAATTCCATCTGTTTAAAAATATGTGATTTACTATTATTTCTTTTAAGCAAAAATATGAGTGTCTGAAGTTAACGTGTGTCTGTGGCATCTTAAAAAGTATTCTGCATTTGCTGATGCTGTCTATTTGTTTTCACTGTGGTGAGCTATAGATGAGACATCAGCATAGTGGAGACTGTTCTAAGGGAGTCTTCATGCAGTCAGTCAGACCTGCAAGCTTTCAAGCTGATCATCTATCTAAGTAGCTCGTCTGTCTGCTGGTGCTGAGGTGGCTGTTTACCAAGTTCATGCACATGGCCCTGATACACTGTACTTATAATTTTAAAAGTTTTATTTTGATAATTTTCATTGAACCAACACACTAATTGCTTTACCTGTGAATATTATATCCAGAAGAGTAGATTTGATTAAGGCCCAGTTTGGCACTGGGGTTAGAAATGAGATCAGCTTGCTTTTCATTTTTAACTGCCATTTATAAAAAAGATCCTTTTATCAATGGTACTTTTACAAAATAAATTTTTAAATACTTGTGTTAGGACTGCTGCTACACAGGCATGAAGACCCAAGTTTAGATCCCCAGCACCCATTTAAAAGCCAGGCATGATTGTGTATGTCTGTAACCCCGGTGCTGGGGGACTAAAACAAGCAGATCATGGAGCTTGCTGGTCAGCCAGTCCAGCTGAATCAGTGGGACTCTGTATCAGAACACTAATAAGGTAGAGAACAATAGAAGAAAAGACCCAGGCACTAACACACATGTACACCTCTCACCCCCCAACACATGTAGAGCCTCACATACGTACGTTATAGGTCTCATTTATAGGCACTGTGTTGAGTAAGCCTCTTCTTTTAATTAAATTGTTTACATGTAAGAAGAGAAGCTGCACCGGGGAGATGGCTCAGTGGGCCAAGTCCTTGCAGTACAAACCAGATAGCCTGCGCTCCGTCCTGGGTCTCATGGTGGAAGAGAACTGACCTGCAGACATACTCACAAACACACAATTGTAATACATCAGGATTTCAAAAGAAAGACAGCACTAGAGGAAAACAACAGCAACTGTGGAGCCATTTGACTCCAGGACCTGTGCTCACATCTCCCCTGCTGAAGTGCAGCCTAGAGGCTTATTTTCTGTGCTTTCTTCTTCGTGACCACCAGTAGGATGGTGGTCTTAGAGCTTCGCCTCCGATTCAGTGCAAGTCTGCAGCCTGGCATCCCTGGAGTTTTCCCAACAGTAGAGAACAAAGTAAATGGAGGAAGTGGAAATAAATACTTGAAAATTTCCTCAAACTCAGAACATTGATCTTAAGGTTATAAATGGCACTCTATAAAAAATAATTGGTTGAGTCTTCAGAAAGCCAAAAACTTCTCTGGCTACTAAGACAGATCATTGTGTATTATAGTGCATTTTTATAATGCTGGCAGAAAAGAGGACTTCTTCAGTGCTTCTACAGCAACTTGAGTTGCACTCAGAGAAACAGGACCTAGAACGACTAGAAGTTCTTAGTGGCATTGGATGCTTCAAGATAAAGAAGAGGAGCTTCAGAAAAATCCTGGAAAAATTACTAAAGACTGGAATTTTTTTCTTAGCCAAAATAATGCAAAAAGGAGAGAAGCAATATTTCTGGATCTACTAGGTAAATCCATGTTTGCCTTCTAGAACTGTCTCATCAGACAGCAGTTTAAACAGTTCCAGAGTCATCCAAGAACAAGAAGTCCGTAGTAGACTGTTGGTGTCTCCAGGGCTGCAGGCCGGCTCTCCTGCGCACTGTCTTTGTAGATGGTGTTAGCAGCCTCAGCCACTTGAAGCACTTGAAACATCCCTCCTTTGCCTGGGGGCAGAGGTCACAGAATTTGTCCTGACAGCTGCCAGTGGGAGTCTGCTTGGATTTCATTGGCTAGACCTGTGAAGTCAGGCTTCACCGGAGAGTCGGAGCACGAGTTTGAGGGTGTGAGGGGAAGGGTTTAGAAATGGCTGTTGTCTCAACATGTGAAGACGTTAGACTTCTTTAGAAAGACACTTTACGGGATATGCTAACAAAACAATAGAAGTAGCAAAAGAGAAACCACAGAAGCTAGGAAAAACAATCCAATGTAGGAAAACAAAAGGGATTCCCAAGATGTGGCCCAGTGAGCAGGAGCAGCAGGGCCCAGAGGTGAAAGTAGATGTAAAGTAGACTTAAAGATACATTTGATGGCTGAAAGACATTTAAAGAAATGCTCAACATCCTTAATCATCAGAGAAATGCAAATCAAAACAACTCTGAGATACCACCTTACACCTGTCAGAATGGCTACGATCAAAAACACCAATGACAGCCAATGTTGGAGAGGATGTGGAGCAAAGGGAACACTCTTCCACTGTTGGTGGGAGTGCAAACTTGTACAACCACTGTGGAAATCAGTATGGCGGTTTCTCAGACTACCTCAAGACCCAGCCATCCCACTCTTAGGCATATACCCAAGGAATGCTGATTCATACCATAAAGATACATGCTCAGCTATGTTCATAGCAGCACTATTTGTAATAGCCAGAACCTGGAAACAACCTAGATGCCCATCAACAGAAGAATGGATGGAAAAAATGTGGTACATATACACAATGGAGTACTATTCAGCAGAGAAAAACAATGAAAGCATGAAATTTGCAGGCAAATGGATGGAACTAGAAAAAATCATCCTGAGTGAGGTAACCCAAACCCAGAAAAACAGTCATGGTATGTACTCACTCATAAGTGGATTCTAGATATAAAATAAAGAACAATCAGACCACAGCCCATAGAACCATAGAGGCTATATATATAGTATGGAGGTCCCTAGGACGACTGTGGCTTATAATAAATTTCGGTTCTACTCAATTATTGAAAAAAAATAGCCAAATGAATGGAAACACATGAACTATGAACCAAAGGCTGAGGGGCCCCCAGCTGGATCAAGCCCTCTGAATAGGTGTGACAGTTGATTGGCTTGATCAGTTTGGGAGGCAACTAGGCAGTGGGACCGGGTCCTGTGCTTGTTGCATGAGTTAGCTGTTTGAAACCTGGGGCTTATGCAGGGACACTTGGCTCAGTCTGGGAGGAGGGGACTGGATCTGCCTGGACTGAGTCTACCAGGTTGATCGCAGTCCTCGGGGAGGCTTTGCCCTGGAGGAGGTGGGAATGGGGGGTGGGCTGGAGGTAAGGGGAGGGTGTGGGAGGGGGGAGAATAGGGGAACCCGTGGCTGATATGTAGAACTGAATGGTATTGTAAAATAAAATTTAAAAAAAGTAAAACAAACAAAAAGATACATTTGAACATTTTCAATAAAAATACTAACAGGCAGATAGCATGTGATATAAAAGATTTTAGATAGGAACACAATAGGAAAAAGAAAAAAAAAACACAAAAGGAAAAAGGACATCATCACAGTGAATGTTTTGGTCCTAAGTGAGCCACACTTTTTCTTAATTTTTTTATTTTTTGTTTTTTTGAGACAGGGTTTCTCAGTGTAACCCTAGCTGTCCTGGAACTCACTCTGTAGACCAGGCTGGTCTTGAACTCAGAGATCTGCCTGCCCTCTGCCTCCCAAGTGCTGGGATTTTTAAAACAATATAATACAAAACTACGATCAGCTTAACAAAAAATTGAAATTAAGATTTAGTGGGAGATAGTGTACATGTAGTCAAAGTTTTCTGAGACAGAAAGTCATTTGGCGACATCTGAAAGAGCAGCCTCTGCTTATGATTCAGAATAGACGCATAGGTGCTGATAATTGCTCACCTGCACTGAGTCGTCCACTTTGCTTCCTCATTCACTTCTGTTACTGGAATTGGGTAGTGTGGAGATACATGTATTACCTCTGTCTGACAGAGTTATTCTAGATTTCCCTGACACCCCTGGAGTGGGTTGGAACAGACTCAGCTCTCCCTATAAAAGCCAAGGGTGGTAACTGATAGGACCAATACATTGAAAACTCTAGTATGTTGCCTCAGTGTATGAGAGGGTATATGTCTGGAACAGGGGCAGTTATGTTCTCTCCAAGTGTTGTAGCCTGGCTAGTAAATAGTAGTTTGATGGACAATCCTAACTTCACATATTTTTTTTGATGTCATTTCTCAGTTTTGTGCTCAGACACTAAGCTTCATCCCTGGTCCCAGGAGCTGTTGCTCATTTAGACCCTACTATATTCCCAGATTATCTTTTATTGGTGGTATTTTCTGGAATGGTTAAATAACACGTTGAGCATAATACAACTATGTGGCGATAGATCTGAGATTTAAGAATTTGAGGGAAAATATTCTATTTTCTCTGTATGAAACCACTTCTCAAAACTAGAAGAAAAAGGTGTTAAAGAGTAATAGTGGAAGAAAGCTACTTTTTAAAAAAGGGTTTTTTTAAACTATAATAAATGTAATGACTGTAATTTAAGCATTGAAATTAGTAACAACTTTGTAGTTATTTGTTATCCTTAATCAGAGTCATGACTAGCAAAGTTGTAGCAGTTCTTTTTGTTGTTGTTGTAATTAGAAAAGTAATGATCTCCTGGTAGAGAATCTAAAACAACAAAAACCAAACCAGAATGATTAAAAAAAAAAAAAATCCAACCATTCAGAGATAGTCTTTTGACATTTTGATGCATTTCCTAATCTTTTTTTTTTTTTGGTTTTTCAAGACAGGGTTTCTCCGTGTAGTTTTACCTGTCCTGGATCTTGCTCTGTATACCAGGCTGGCCTCGAACTCACAGAGATCCGCCTGGCTCTGCCTCCCGAGTGCTGGGATTAAAGGCGTGCGCCACCACCGCCTGGATCTCCTAATCTTTTAAACAGGTGTTTGTATCAAATTTTGTTTCTGATATTTTAAAGTTTACACTGTTTTTTTGTGGTGATTTTTTTTCTT